TGGTATAAGATACTTATTTATTTATTTATTATCAGGTGTCTTATGGACATGCTGCTTGAGAGGGGCTGACATGAATATTCATGTGCACAAACACATCCTTTCCAGTCCTGTGTACCTACTTTTCAAAATTTTAAATGCTAAAAGGCATTTTTCAAGAATACAATATTAAAGCAAGATAGCACTTACCCATATTGCAAACAAAACTCCTGAAATGCTAATATCGTTAATGACACAGGGCATTTGTAGAATGGCTGCCATCAGTAGAAGACTCAAAACATCAACTGTGAGAACTCAGTGGAAATTAAAGTATGCTTAAAGACTTGTACACAGCCCTCTAAACTGCAACCCAAACATATAAGTTTAATCAGGGAGCTAAAATGTACTATTTATCCATAAGTGGAATTAATATAACAGATGTGACAGCTTCTACCCTTATGAGACTCTTTAGACCTCACAAATAGAAAATTACATATGACTTTCTTTGAGGAACAAGTTGAGGCAGGTAAGTTATGGGAACAAAAGCTTCTCTTTCGACATATTTATCTTTGGTAACTAACCATTAATAGAGAGAGAAAGTCATTTACTTGAACAATTAATGAGCACACTTCAATATTATGTTTTTATTAGTCATTGAAAAAGCATAGCAATTAATCTTTAATAAGTATTCAAGGAAAGTTTTGTATTTTCATTTTTATTTATAAAAAAATGGTTTGGGGGCCTAAAAATTGACTTAACAACAAGGAAAAACAGTGTCTTTGTCACTTCTTGTCTTTTTTAGTGTTCTCCTGCAATGCTATCTATACCCTAGTTACCCTACAAAAAAATCCCTTCTTAAATCCTGTTTCCCTGCCTTCATTGGCCTTGGAGAACAAGTAGATTTAACATCATAGTTATGAATGGCGAATTCCTGCCCATGTTGAAGTTAATGGGAGTTTTGACAGTAACTTCAATAGGGCAAGAATTTCTCTTTGAGCAAATGAACCTGGTTAATTAAGTGGGGAAGATACTTTTAATCATCTCCTTTTTTGTTCGTTTGAGGTGTTTTTTACATTTACTCAGCTCTAAAGCATAATCTATATTCCAGTTCTACAGCCAATTTAGAGTAAAATATATTATGCTACTGAACCAATTACATATGTTTAGCAACAGGAATTAGTATTCTCTAAAGCAACAAGGTAAAAGACATTAACAGGAATAATGTTAGAGTCTAGGATTAAGGGGGGAGATGATGCAATCTTTAAAACAATAAAACACCATTTTTTCTTTAGGCCACTGACACGTATACTTGGAGTAGGTTAAGAACTCCAATAGCCAAAAGGGTAAGGGTTGACCCACGGAAATCTATTAGGGTGCAGACAGAAGTGACCATTTTCACCCAATCTGGCCACAGAAAGCAGCCTATAGCTGAGGCCAAACACACGTGCATGCAGACTGCTTCAAAAATGGCCAATCGGGTGAAAATCTGAACCCTCATTACATGAGGGGCCAGATGAAGATGTTTCAAAACAGTGTTTTCTGTAATTTGTGTCTGCACGGCCTGCCAGCCTGTTGCTATTTTCAGAATGGGAGGGGAGAAAGGGAGTGGAAGGAGTTTGGTCTGGGGTTTTTTCAGTCCTAGTTGGTGTATTGGAGCTCTCCCCACTGCCCCTGATGGGGGGCCTCCAATTTATCCATCCCAACCTCCAGCACTGGGCTGGGGAACTCCTAGAATGAGCTCCCTGTGCTCCCTTTCCCCCGTCCCATTATGAAAACTTTGCGGCCTCCAAGAGAGGAGGGGCCACATCTAGGGGAAACTGACTGCAGGCTCCCAGCCAACAGCTAGATTCCCCTCCTCCCTGGAACCAAAAGTGAACTTCTGTTAAGCCTGGGCGGGGAGAGGGAGGGATTGTTATAACCCAGAATGCTTCCTGCAAAGCATTCTCAGTTACAGTGGGGAGCTGCACTTCTGTCTGCACCCTAAATTTATGCTTAACCTGCAAAGGATATTCTTCCCCTCCCCTTGACTTCCTACCCTCTCTTAGGCTTCTGCCAGTCTCTGGAATTGAAGGAGTGAGCACCTTTCTGGCACTGCTCCAGCTGAGTTTAATTATATAAAGATATTTATATAAACAAAAATAGACAAATATAAACAAATATAAATAAACAAATATGAATCATATCTTTATAAACATACTATTTAAATATATTTATATATTCATTTATATTTATTTATCTATATACTTAAACATATTCAAATATGAATAATATATTTATAAGTAATGTATTATTGATTATATGAATAAACAAATATAAACAATTATAAACAAACAAATATAAGCACATAAAAGCAAATATAAACAAATATATAAAAATTTACATATGACTAGAAGGGGCCTCCCAAGACATCCATTTTAGTTCTCTGCATTTGCAGGCAACCATTTATCTAAGTCCTAAAAATTATCCAGACCAACTAACCACACGCTACCATACAAAGCACATAATAAAACCAAAGACACTGTGCAATATGCCACATGTTAAAAAACCAGGACAGACAAGGACACTAACAGTGCCCTACCACTGCAATGGCAGAGAAATTTGTTAATATATGCTTAGAGGAAGACCATATCTCATGTTATAAAGAAAAGCAAAACTCAAACACCTTGCTAATCTGACCTGGAGAATTACCAATGAGTAATTTGTAGTCCTTCCTAACTCCAGGTCTGGCAATCAGTTTGACCCTGAGCAGAAGAGCAAGACCACCCGCTGAGGTACTTGAGAGGTTTTTAAATACCAGCAGGACCTCCAGTGGGTTCCAGTCCGAACTGCCATATTTAGCTGTGGCCAATGTCCAATGCTAAAAAAACCCATAGGAGCCTGTAAAGATTCATGAGAGCAAACCTTTTTTTCATAGCTTCTGCAGACAGCTAGCAAAAACCCTGAAGCATTGTACCATCTTGTCCAGAGAGAGAGCAAGAGAGAGACAGCAAGAGAGAGAGAGAGAGAGAGAGAGAGAGCACTCATCTCCAACAGGGGGGGAAATACTAGAATCCAATCCACATTACCTGTACTGATTACTGATTTAAGAATCCCTGTTCTGTCATATCTTCCATTAAATGACATACTGGGCTGCATTGGTAGGAGTGCTGGCAGCAGGTCAAGGGAAGTGATTCTTCCCTCTATTCAGCACCGGTGAGTCCACATCTAGAGCACTGTGTTCAGTTTTGGGCCCCCATTACAGAAAGGATGTGGACAAATTGGAGAGAGTCCAGCAGAGGGCAATGAAAATGGTTTGGGAGCTGGGGCACATGACTTGTGAGGAAAGAATGAAGGAACTGAGCTTATTTAGTGTAGAGAAGAGAAGACTGAGAGGGAATTTAACAGCAGCCTTCAACTACCTGAAGTGGGGTTACAGAAAAGATGGAGCTAGACTGTTCTCAGTGGTGGCAGATGACAGAACAAGGAGCAACAGTCTCAAGTTGCAGCAAGGGAAGTTTAGGTTAGATATTAGGAAGAATTTTCTCACTAGGAGGGTAGTAAAACACTGGAATAGGTTACCCAGAGAAGTTGTGGACTCTCCATCCTGGAGATTTTTAAGACTCGGCTAGACAAAGCCTTGACTGGGTTGATCTAGTTGGGGATGGTCCTGCTTTGAGCAGGCGGTTGGACTAGCTGACCTCCTGAGGTCCCTTCCAACCTTAATTTTCTATGATTCTATGATTCTAGCTGGTTGAATTTCATCTTGAAGTGATTCAGGTTCTTGTCCCCTATTGCTTTGCTCAGAAGACGATTCTAAAACTGCAGTTTTCTAATAGTACTGGCACTAATTCAACTTTACTAACTTTAAAAAGTCCCTTTCAAAACAGTAGCATGAATACTCTAATCAGAAAAATCACTTGAGCACTTGGGATAGTGGCTAGTGTAGGCATAGGGAAAACATCTGCATTTTTGCATTTTAATGCTTTGTCAGCAGAATAGCTGAAGACTGGGTCTGCTTGCGGATATTAAAAAAAACAAAAACAAAATGGCACCTTAAACTTGGTGCATTTCCACACCAAGCCTTGCACATATCCAGAAGAGGCAGCACCTTAGCTGTATCCAGTTTGCCTGACATCTGCATAGGTTGGGCGCTTTAGTGGGGCTTTCATGGTGCTTTTATCTAATAGCTGATTGAATCAGCTTTAGCTAATAGTGCCGAAAAGCCCTGCTGCTGAAGCACCCAATCTATACAGATGGTGCAGAGCTAAGTCGAAGTAATGTGCTGCTTCTTCCAGTAAAGCACTTTTTTTTAACACCTGCAAGCAGCCAAAAAGTCTTACTGTAGTGCACTTATTTACTGTGAATTTACTGTGCTAAACACACAAAACTACTGCAAGCTTTGTTAATGTGGTTTCAGAAAGTTTGCAGACTTAACTGATCTAAGTCAAAATAATAAGAGGAACACAAATCAAGTAAATAAATCTCCAGATTAACTATGCTTTCCGTATGTGAATGGTATTAGTACAGGAAAAACTGGTTCAGCTGAAAGGTTTTGATAAGGCTACTAAGTAAGGCTGTGTCGGAGGCTTCTGGGACAAGTGTACATGCAATAGCCTTGCCTTTCCTTCCATAGTTAGAAACTGTGTCCTTTCTTCCATTTGGCTTTCTCTATACCTTTCTCTGTAGCTACCTCTGCCACCAGTTACTAAACTTTCTGTGTGTCCAGGAAGTAGCAAAAGGGAGGGATCTACAGCCCAGACTTGTTGCCAACATTGCCCTTTGTGCCAAAGAATGAAAATCCCCAAGACAGTATTTTCTTCAAATAGAGAATGAGGAAAACAGTCTTAGCCATGAGTCTGTCTCCTCTCTCCCTTCTTTCCGCTTCACAGCAGAGTTTCTATTTAAACTTTAGTGTAGGTGGTGACATCTCAACTGGCAAAGTAACAACAGTGGATCTGCTGATTTTTCACCAAAAGCTAACATGGAAATACTGCAAATGAAACAAGCTTTCTAAGACAGTTATAAATCTGGACAATTCCACTTACCACTCAAGGGGTGAGGAATGGTATATTGCTTCTTTTTACTGGAAATGGAATTAGAGGAAAGTTTGCGAGCAAGAAGAGCTCCTTGTTTCTTTCCAGGGCTCTCGCTGTGCTGGGCTCTCCTCATTTGTACCATGTGTTCGAGTTTTTTCAACCGTTCTTGTGAACGAGAAATAAACTTTGGTTTATGGACTTCCAGAGCCTCCTAACAAAACAGAGAAACCATTTTTTTTTAAATAAGCACTATAAAAAAGACAGAGTCATGTATCTAAGGTGTTCTAGTAAGAGACACTTCTCAGTAGTTAGGGTAAGCAACCTGCTTCCATTCATATTTTGCTTGAAAAAATTGGTTTGGCTTGAAAATTTGTCAGATTTACTCTAGGAGCAAGAGAATATTCTGCACAGTTTCAAGCAGATTTATAATAGTGGTCTTGAGTTACATTTTTTTTTTAAACAGAATTATCCTGATAGAAGATTTTTTCTTTTGGTCTCTTTCTCTGGCTTGCTCTATTTCAAAAGTGTCATGTCATTACATGCTTCTGTCATCATGAGCGGT